GACCGTGAGCAAGCGTAAAGGGCTTATAGGAAGAGTCCTATAGGCCTAGACAGAGCATGTGGCTAGGATCAGAGCCTGCTCCCCAGCTTGGGGGTTTTCTCTGGGGACCAGCGTTTCTCCAGGTCTCTGCATGACAACCAGCCCTCTTATAACCCAGGGGCAGTGCTATCTGAGGAGCAGACCTGACTGGCAAGTTGGGAGATCTGAGAGCAAGTTCTGGCTGCATTTTAGCCCTCTCCCCCTTACCTGGAAACCTTGAAGTCACACCTGTGTGGCTGGTGCAGGTAGCAGTGCTGGCCCCGCAGGGTGAGGATCACGGTCCTTACCGACTGACTTGCCCTCGGTCGCGGGCTCTGTAATACTCAACCCCGATGCAGAAACATTCATGGAGATTGGTGGGTTACTGTTACTACACCAAGGCCTCCTCTAACCTTCTCTCCCATATAAACGAAAGACTAATGGCTCCCAACCCGTTATCTTCTATCTTTCTGGATTTCTTGAAATGTTTCAATGATTTTCATGATATATTATTCAGCACAGTGGTCTGTGCTGGCCCCCTTGTCTACTTCTTTATGTCCTTCAAACTTTATGTCCTAAGAATAGTTTTTATATTTTGAAGTGGCTGAGAAAAATCAAAAGAAGCATAATGTTTCATGAGCTTTCAGAGTCCAAAAATAAAGGTTTTCAACACAGCCATGCCCACTTATTTATGTATTTTCCACTGTTACACTGTGACAGTGTAGCTGTTTTGGTATGGCAGAACTGGGTAGTAGTAATATAGACTATACAACCTACAAAGCTCAAAATTTTAACTGTCTGGCCGTTCACAGAAGAAATTCAGTTTTTTAAACCAACTCCTAGTTTAGTGTAAATGGCAGGCTACAGAATCAACCTATTTGCATAGCCACTCTGTACACACAAACTGAGAGAGAAAAAAATACTAGAATGGGGATTATCTCTGGGTACTAAGGTTACATACAATTCTTTGAATTTTTTTAAACCAAATCTGTTAATACAAAAGTATAAGAAAAGAATATTAATGACATTAATAAAATAACATTTCAGTCTCTTACTGTGGACAAGACACTGTTAGTTGTTGACATGTTTTATTTCACCTAATCCCCCTTCCACAGTGTAGGTACCACTGTATCTCTCTAGAGATGAGGGAAGAAGACTCGGAGTTTATGGAGCTTGCCCAAGGTCACAGTACTAGTGAGAAGCACTTGGTGTACTTACGATGAAAACACACTTGAGGAACAAAACAGAATGTGCTAAAAACAGAAACTGGTTTAGGAAGAGCACTTTACTAGAAGTCACAGAATCCCAGTCCTTACAGACAATGAGGACGTTACAAATGCTTTCTTTGGGTGTGCACATATCTAGTCTACTTTAGTAAGCAGATACAATACATTGGGTTGGCCAAAAAGTTCATTGGAGATTTTCTGTACAATGTTAACGAAAACCAAAGGAACTTTTTGGCCAACCCAATATTTGTGAGTATGTACCTGAAAAATGGCAGAGAACCATGCTAATGGAGGGTGTATATCCAGAAGCATGTCAAGGCACGATGTGCTGACTTCCTGAGCTTTCCCATCAAATATTTCTTGACTTAGTAACAATATAAATGTCAAGAAATATTTGATAGGAGTGTTGACTTAATTTCAATAGTCAGTTGACTTAACTATGGTGCTTCCACACTTGGAATGCGTGTGTTAAGTCACTTTAGCCACATGCGAAACTCTTTGCAACCCTATGGTCTGTAGCCCATCAGGCCCCTCTGTCCACGGGGATTCTCCAGGCAGAATACTGGAGTGGGTTGTTATGCCTTCCTCCAGGGGATCTTCCCGACCCAGGGATCGAACCTACATCTCTTATGTCTCCTGCACTGGCAGGCAGGTTCTTTACCATGAGCGCCACCAACCAGGCAATGACTGAGTGGTACTGATATGATTATATTTCTGCTGCCAGTTGGCATTGTGAGTTTGAGGCTGCTCCGTGGTGATGTAGGATAAAGCAAATGACATGAAGAACTAATGCTGTCATCAATAGTGCCTTTGAGAACCAGGTTTCTAGAAAAAGGAGACACAGACCTAAGAAAGAAGTTAAATAAAATCCCCTGTAGTTTTTAATTTGAATGCAAAGTATCAGTATAGATTCATCATGTATTTTCATCAGAAACAACCACCACCTATTTCCTAGTTTGGGCCACTGGAAAAGTTTAAAAATGATGACCAACCCAGGAACAATGAATGCCTCTAAATGACCAGACTATCGTCTCTAAAAGTATTTCCCACTAAGAAGAACAAGGGATTCTTGGATTCTTGAAGAACTAGATGATTCCACGTCTGGGGAAGGGCTTGGATCATCTTAGCTTCCCTGATATTTGGATCACATCAAAGACTACCAGGGTCATGTCAGAAGGAGCCAACTGGCCAGAGATGGCACAGAGCAAGCAGCAATAACAATAATAAACAAAATGGGTTAAAACATAGTAAATATGCTTAAACCCATGGGTTTACAAGGATACTACAAAACACACAAAAACACCCTAATTGGTCATCATTGGAAGATGACAATAAGCTATTCATTATTTTTAAAATTGGCAAATAGAGGAAACGATTCAAACATATATTCCATCTTTCCTATGTGAATTGTATTACTAGATAATCAAATGATAGATGTATTTGACTATTTGTATTTCACTTAATAAATGAAGAAAGAATGACAGGATTAGAACATCATTTTGTAACCCCTAATTAACTGATGGATCTCACTATGAACATCAATGGCTGCGAAAACCACAAAGGGAGACAACTAGACATCATGAGCCTTCTGACAAGACAGCACAGCACAGTCTGGGAAGTAGTCTTGCCCACAAAAATCAAGCTAAAATCTGATTAAATATCTAAGTCAAACTAGCAATTTACAGGAAATGCAGATGGTAGGACACATTAAATAGCAACACAAGGTTGCAAACAGAAAAATCCAGACTGTGGAATCTCTCCAGCACAAAAGACCCAACTTCTTCCTTAAATAAATTGCAAGGGTGAGGAGAACATAAATGGAGCCTATAGATTCCAATATACTTAAAAGAAAAGGCCATCTACATGTGTGGGCCTTATTTGGATTCTGATTTTGAATAAGAATTTAAAAATGGCATTTAGGAAATAGTATGAACTTGAACATTTGCATGACATTGGATGATATTAAGAGATAATCACTAATTTCTTAAGTTATTGCGGGAATGTTAAGACCAAAGGGTCAGTTTCTGTTAGAGATACATACCTAAGTATTTACAGATGGAAAGGTTAAGTCTTGGATTTGTTTTAAAACTAACAGTGAAAAAGTAGGTGGGGACACAGATAAAATGAGATTGGCATTATATTGATGATTGTTGAGGCTGGATGAGGGTTCAAAAAGTTTCTACTTTTCCATAAAAAAAATGCCCAAGTTTCAATAATAAAACATTAAAATAAATCCTTTCTGACATCTTGTTCAGAGTGCTAATACTGGGCAGGGAGTAGGATGGCTCTGACAAATACTCCTTCTCTCATGTTTCATGAATGATGGAGAGTTGAGTATTGTGCTTCAGATTGTTCATCTGGGGACTTCTGCATCACCCATGGAGCTTCTCCATCACCCATGGAGCTTCTCCATCACTCATGGAGCTTCTCCATCACCCATGGAGCTTCTCTATCACCCACAGGGCTTCTCCATCACTTATGAGACATCTCCATCATTCTCCTCATCAGGATAATGTCACTATGTGCTTGGTACACATACACACACCCACACATACAAAAATCTATCAGAAAAAAAAAAGATTTCTCATGACTTAAATATTTCACTTTGAAGCTGCAAAGTGTATGAGGGACTCAGAATTTCATAAAGCTAAGTCACTGAACTCTACAAAACCAAATCTACCTGGCCCAGGCATTCAGTGGAACTCATGACCAGGGGGTCACATGAAAAGACAGTTGTGGCATGGAGGCTGCTAAGTGTATCCATTCTGAAATTCTGAGCAAATAACAAGGCAAATTGGGATGGCGAGGACACCATTTCTCTTCTCATGCCATTATCTGCACCAGTGACTGAGTTTCCCAAGTTAGATGATAATGTCTGTGGGAGGGCAGTTCTCACCTGGGGACCCCACAGGTGCGAGAAATGAAGAGGGTTGAGGAGACACAGCAAAACCTTAAGCCCTGTCACCGGGTGTGGGATGGTGGAAGGAAACAAAATTTAGGGGCCAGGAAGTGGGAAACGGGTCTGATGTTTATCTCTAGAGATGGGGTCTCCCAGCCCTCAAGTTAAGCTTGTTAGGGTAGCTTCTGTTTCTCCACCAGCTTTGCCAGCATCTCTGTGCGAACTGTACTGTGCAGAGTTGTGTGTCCCCCCCGTCAGCCCCCTGCCCGCCAACCCATGGGTTCCTTACACCCCGGAGCTCATTCACTTATCGGTGATATTGCCTTTTCCCTGCCTTTCTCTCCCACTAGCCTTTAACTTCCTCAAGGGCAGGGACTTTGGTCTGTTCCCGATGGTATCTCATCACATGTCACAAGGCATGGAACACAGATGTGCTCCCCAAACATCACTGCAGGATTGGGGGGGTCACAGTGCAGGGCAGTGGTCATGACCGTGGTCTTGACCCCTGGCCCTCCAGCCCACTCTCCCCACCTTGCTGATGCTGGGTTCTACTTTCCAGATTCTACCATGACTTACTATAGGACTTCGGGTTTTGTAAAACACGTTTGAGATTTTCCTGGAAAAGACACACACATAATGGTAAATGTCTATTTCTACATAATAACGTAACTCATTTAGGAAAGCAGTCCTCCTGGAACTGCACGGTGCATCCACCTGGAATGGTCCCCATTGATGGCCTCATAAATAAAGGCCGAGATTATAACTACATACAACCTTGGATGTGTGTTCAAGGAGTGGGGTGGTGGAGTTGACACATGAACATCTCGGGACAGAACTATTTGATGGGATGAGCAAACCTGGGCATCTTCGAATGTGTATCTCCCTCCATCCTTGACATTCTGACTGGTTATCTCATAGCTGTGAGAATCCAGGTTGATTGCGCTTGGGGCCCCGGGAGCCAGAAACTCTTGCCAGATTTCTTCCACCCTCCTGGCCACATCCTGGAGGGGCTGTTTCTTGAGATCTTGGACTGCCAACCAGAACCTGAAACAGAAGCACAGGACAGTTCATTCCAGGGGCTCCGTCAGTAGCTGCTCTGTTGGACGTGGTCCCAGAACTGACATCGCATGGCACTCATTCTGTGTGCCCCAGCTGTCTCAGTAGCCATGTCCCAGGTCATGAAGGCTGCAGGGACTGCTGAGAATACAAAGGTGCTCCATCATTGCACTAAATGCATGTTAGAAGATCACCTTGCTTCTGGTTACCAAAAAGAGATTTTTCTCTACCTCACAGTTTTTCAGCCTCAGTACTGTTGCCATTTTGGGCTGGATAATTCTTGAAGAGTCGCCCTGTACATAGAAAGATATGTAGCAGCAACCTTGGGTTTGACCCATCAGATGCCAGGGGCATCCTTTCTGCACTTGCGACAACCAGAAAGTTTCTGGCCATTACCAGATGTCTTCTGGGAGGTAAATTCACCCTTGGGAGAGAACCACTGTTTGACAGAGAAGCCACCACCCAGACAATGTGAGTCCCTTCTGCATATCTGGTGGGGATCAGCTGGAGGTATTCAAAGGAAAGAAAGATCCCAGAAGCAATAGTATCTTGGAGCCATTAAGAATATTTGAGCTGGAAGGACCCAAGCATACACGCTGTTGATGGAGAAACAGCCTATTTGCAGCATCAATGTGGGCATGGTGTTCGGCATGTTCCCTGGGGGAGGGCATGGCAACCCACTCCAGCATTCTTGCCTGGAGAATCCAGGCAAGGACTGGGCTTGGACTGTAGCCTGCCAGGCTTCTCTGTCCATGGGCTTGCAAAGAGTTGGACACAATTGAGCAACTCAGCACAGCACAGGTGCCCAATAAATGTCTGATGGATTGCAGGTGGGTTCATCTGGGACAAAGCTGAAGGGACATATATCGGGGATCCCTCTACAAAAGATTCTCCAGGGATTGCTGGAGAGAGAAGCCTTCTGCTCACGGCTATATTTGCCTTTCATGAATCCCTCAGCATCTGCATGGTGCTGGAGGGCTGGCGGGTGCTGTGAGCTCTTTTCTGCTGAGAACAGCAGCAGCCAGGGCCAAAGCTTGGACAACAGCTCCCTGGGTAGTGACGATGGTTCCCAAGGCAACCCTGGAGAGGGATTTCAGCAGGACTCAGGTCTGGGTGGCACATTTTGTGTCCTGTGAACAAAACAGGCCAGTTTCCCCATCAACGAGAGGAGAGGACAGGTCCCCGGCTGTGTGGTTCCTGCAGCCACGGGAATCACACATACTCAAGGCAACGAAAGGGCAGGAACAAGAGAAGCTGAACCATGACATGGAGGAAGGTGCATTCAATCTGTCATCGAATTTCACCCAAAGTAAGAGGCACTCTTTTTTTTTTTTTTTTAAAGGTTAAGCATGTTTTTCTGTTGCTGTTCAGAGGTGTGTGAAGCCCTGTGCATGGCCTAAAGGTGCCACCCAGTGGCCAACTCGGGTAATGCAGCTTCATTTCCACCAGGAGAGACGGCTGGGGGGCGGGGTCGGGGGCGGGGTCTCTGCTTCTGGGTCTGTGTTTGTGAGAGACACGAGCTCCGTGAGCTCCAACTCTCCCCCTGATTTACCATTTGGGATTCTGATGATCTCGCTAAAGAAAACCCTCATGGCTCCCTCGCCAAGACCAAGAGGCAGGGAGGAGCCTCGCCGGCTTCACTCAACCGGAAGGTGAGGAAGTCCCAGCTGTGGCGCTCTCTTGGCATCGCTGTATCTTTCTGGGCCTCGCTCTCCTCCCGGCGCAGTGGGTACAGAGCAGGCGGAGGGGTATGTGGACGGGTCTGAGCACGTCCCATCCCGGTGTCACTCCGAAATGCTCTCAGGCCCCGTGGGTGGGTGCTGCAGGGGCAGCCCATGGTGACCACAGGTCTGGGGGAGCCTGGGTGGTAAGGGCCCGGGGCTCCTGCCACTGACATTGGCCTCACTTGCCCTTTGACACCAGCCCTCTATCTTTCTGCTCACGTCAGGTCTTTCGTAATCATGTCCTCTGGCTACCCAGGGAGAGGGAAACAGTAGCCAGTAGCCAGTCTTTGTGATGACAGAACCTACAAAGGTTTTCTTCTCCCAGAGGGCCATGTTTGATGGGCAGGTAAAATTCAGGAAATCAGTTCTAAAGAGAGGAGCTAGTGTTGGTTTTTCAAAGGCCTGGAAGGAGGGCTGACGTGAAGCTTGGTGAGTCCCTGGTAGCCCTAGGGAGTCACTTCTGGCTGAGGCCTGGGCTGGAAGCAACTCCTTTGGGCCAGCGTCCATCCCAAGCCTACCGGACTCTGCAATTTCTCACACAAATGATGACGCCCGGGCGATTTCCTGATGCCTCAGTCGGGGTCATGTGGGCGCCACCTTCTGTCCCTTGTCTCAGTCGGCTCTGAGACGGAGCTCTGGGGGGCCCCAAAGACCTTGCAGCTTCTGAAAGCCGCAGGCTCCCCATGACTCCTGAGGCCTCAGCAGTCCTTCCAGCAGAATGAGTTGGGAGCCACATTAATGCACATCACTCAGCTGGGTATAGAGGAGTCTGGAGCAGGTGGGAAGGGAAATTTCTGAATCAAATTTAATCAACTTTTACACACAAAATTAAAAGGTTCCCTTTATCAGATAAAACCAAGAATTAAAAATAAAGTGTAAAAAGAAACAGGCATGCTGGATGGGGAGGACAGGGAAGAAGAGGGATGACACCCCCCAGACAGCAGTCTTCTCTCCCTGCACGCATGGGGACCCTCTCGGCCTTCCGACTGCCTTGGAGATGACGTGCCTTATCTCTCTCAGGTGACAGTAAAAATGCTGTCACAACACCATCCTGACATCCCATATGTGTTTCTCATCACCGGCTTCGAAGAAGCTTTGTGCCAGTTTGAAATTCAGTACAGGCTTGGTTTCCCTTGTGGCTTAGCTGGTAAAGAATCCACCCGCAATGTGGGAGACCTGGGTTCGATCCCTGGGTTGGGAAGATCCCCTGGAGAAGGGAAAGGCTACCCACCCACTCCAGTATTCTGGCCTGGAGAATTCCATGTATAGTCTGTGGGGTCGCAAAGAGTCAGACGTGACTGAGCAACTTTCACTTTCACAGGCTTGGTTTGTATCAGCCATCTGTGAGCCCACGGGCCTGAGCTGGGGGCCTGAGCCCCGGCTGCCCAGCCACCCTCCCCTCGAAAGAGCCCTAGAAGCGCCCCTTGCCTATCTCTTGCAGACGGATGGGAGGCCCACTGAGGCCTGCGCGTCCCGCTCTTATCACAAGCCCGCAGGTACCGCTGCTCCTCCAGGACGCCAGCGGGGAGGAGACTGTCAGCGGCCCCGGACCCGCCCACCCTGCATAAGCCGCTGTGGCTTCTGGCTGCCGAAGGGCTGTCACGACTGGCAGGCCGGGAGGGTGCGTGGGTGCCAGGGAGACCACCTGTCCTGCTTTGCCAGAATCGGCAGAGGCGGGGGAGGCAGCCCAGGGCTGACATCGGATCCACGTCACCGGCTTAGGAATGCCGGGGACAACTGACCTTCTCGGGGAGGCAGCCTGGGCTCAGACCCCCCGCCCAGGACCGAGCAGCTGTGGGTGGGACTTGAGGGCCGTCCAGGGCTACCCCAGGTCTCTGTCTCCCGCGGGGCTGGGGTGCTGACATGGAACGGGGTCTCCTCCTCAAGGCTGGCTGCAACAAGGGGAACCATGAAGCATTGGGCGGTGCTCCGTCCTTCCGGGAGGTCTGGCCAGGCCCTGGTTTCTTGCTTACCTATCTTCTCATCAACTAGGACTGTCATGTGTTAGAAAAACCCAGCTTTTCATTTGTTCCCAGGGAAAAGGCAATTCCACAAAGAATGAAGGGCTTCTATGCCCTCTGCTGGTCAACAGAGACTCAGGAACAACTGTTGTCACTTGACTTAGTCTCTGCTTGGGCTGGAGTCTCACCACCAGCAGCACCACCCGAGCTGAGAGATGTTTCACGAGGCAGTGGCCGAAATGCCACAGGTTGTCGAAGTGCCGTGTGAGCACCTCTCTTTCCATGAACCATGTGTTGGGTTCTCGGGGAAGCCCACGGGGCCTGGCCCACCTCCCGGGGTCTTCCTAGGACTCGGGGCAACTGGGAGGCTGGAGCACTCCAAGACAAACTGCTAACACTCCTGTGCTCTTTTTAATTGCTTCTCCCTTCAGCTGACAGTGTGTAGAACCAGGATAATCAATCTGCAGGTTAGAAGAACAACCACGTTCTCTCAGGAGACGTTACAGCTCATAAAAAATGTACGGGGGACGCTCTTGGCTGCGGGTTTTGATTTTTAACTCGTGCCCTGCCGAGTGGCAGTGGTGGTCAAGTCAGGGAGGATGAAGACTTGTGCAGGTGGTAGGACTTCCCTGGTGATCTGGTGGTTGAGACCCTGCGCTTCCACGGCAGGGGGCGTGGGTTTGACCCCTGGTCTGGGAACTAAGATCCTGCATGAACTAAGATCCTGCGTGCCTCTCAGCACAACCAAANGCTCTTAAAAAAAAAAAAAAAAAAAGATTTGTGTGCAAGAGAGGGGGCAAAGGTGGCAAGGGGTAAGGGGTTCCTGTCACCCTTCTAGGAAAACACACAGAGAAAAGAGGGACCAAGTCTGACCACAGAGAAAAGAGAGGGACCGAGCTAGACCACTCCCTGGGGCCCTCTGCTTCAGAACCAAGAGGCCCCACTTTGCATGCATTCTAGAGGTTCTGAGCAAACATCTGTCTCCTGGTGCCCACCCTATCCAAATGGAGCCCTGGGCTCAGCCCAGGGTGCTGCAAACAGCCTACAACCACGAGCCTTGGTGTCTGCCACAAATGCCCTGGCCACGTGGCCTCCCGTACTTGGAGGTGTTGCCTCTGCCTCATCTCACAGGCTCAGCCCCCCAAAAATGATGAAAGAAGGCGTCAACTTGTATGATCACAGACATCTTTCCTTAAAGGGTCCAGAGTGACCTTTTGCTGTGGTGAGAACAACACCTATGTCTCTTTGGGGCTCTTCTGCTCTGTATTCAATCTCAGGCAGAGATTGAACCACTTGGATGGTGAGCTGGCAAGATTTCTCTAGGTGTAATGCAAAAACATCACGCTCCAAGTACCCCTTTCACTGGAGAGATGCAAAGGAGCTCGGGGAGACAGACGTGGAAAAACCTTTGCAGTGGATCCAGTTGAGTCCCGGTCAGTCTCTCTCTTTCCCGGCCCTGCTCCAAGACCAGCTGCCTGGGCTTGACCAGTCCGGGGGAGGAAGGACCATGCCAGCGTGGCCAGCACCACAGATGGGCAGTGTCCTCGAGCTGAGCCACAAGGCACGGCCCTGGCGTCCACCCTTCACAGGGACCACAGGGGAGGTGCCGCCACAGGGCCCCTTGAGGATGCCCCGGGTGAGGGGTGAGATGCGTTCAACTCTGCACCCTCAGGACCTGGGTCACAGCAGACGCCAAGCTAGGATCTGTGGCCACAGGAATGATGCAAAAGAAGGGGGAGGAAAGGACCTGGTTCTGGGTGACCCAAGAGTCCTCAAGTTGTGTGATTTAAAACCAAAGCTTCCCCCATATATCCAATTATGCTGAATATCATACAAGTAGAATTTGGGCTTGCAGAGAGGATTTTAGAAGCTCTTGGGCTATACTTTTTAATCTCAGGCTGTTCTATTTCCTTTATCCGCTGTCATGGATCAGAAGGGACCCTCTTTTAAGTCTGGATTTCTGCATTCACGCTGGGGGTGGAGATTAGTTACTGCATGCTCACACCCGCTCACATGCACTCTCACCCAGGACTGACTGCAGCCCTCCTGGAGCGAGGCGCTGGCAGAGTATGGTGGTAAGGCAGGAGGAAGCGCTGACACCTGCCAGGGATACCTCCTCTGTGCGCCCCTGGCCTGAAATGCATGCGGATTGCATGGTCCTGGCTACACTCAGACAGGGCAAGGCAGCGCTGAAACAGTCGATGTTCCTGCCCCGGGGCCCCTCACAAGGACCAGGATGCTGTGGTCATCCTTCCAAATCTCCACAATGGTGTAGGTGGCTGAGAAATAGCCAGGTTAAGGGAGCCTCTATACAGCTCCATGGGCTTTAGGAATAGCTCAGTTGGTAAAGAATCCACCTGCAATACAGGAGACCCAGGTTCAATCCCTGAGTGGGGAAGATCCCCTGGAGAAGGAAGTGGCAACCCACTCCAGTATTCTTGCCTGGAAAATCCCATGGACAGAGGAGCCTGGCTACAGTCCATGGGGTTGCCCAGAGTCGGACATGACTTTGTGACTAAACCACAAATCACACACCACTCCATCTTGGGGACCCCGTGGACAAGGATGAGCAGGGAACACAGGGAGAATCCCCAGGGCTGGCTCATGGGGACCAAGTTGAGGATGGGGTTTGAGGCTGGACTAGTCATGCAGAGTCTGCCTTGGCATAGCATGCTGGCCACAGAGGGGGTGGTCCCCCCACCCCCAGGACACCTGCAGGCCTAGGAGGCTGGTCTGAGCACCATCCTGATAAAGAGGTCTAGATTCAAGCCTTCTATTACAGATACTCAATTAGGAATTGAAGCAAAGAGTAGAATAATGCCTCAGCACAAGAAAAGAGCTCTTCTGTGTCATAACCCGAAATCAGATATTCAACCTTATCTGGTTTACAGTAGGTACACGGCTGCCTGGAACAGCCTTGCTATTCCAGTTAATCAGCATCTCCCCATCCTCCCAGGACTGCGTGGTATGGGAGGGTCACCTCCCCGTCCCCAGCTCTGCTCTCAGGGTCTTTCAACTGAGAGCAGCCCCCCTCCCTCTTTCTTTGCTACATGAGTATCTTGTACACTCTTCAAAGCCCAGCTTATGATGTGTCTACTCTGGTAGGATGTTTTGAAAACATTACCAAAATGGTTCTCAGAGTTTACACTCATTTATATTCATTTAATGATGTAAGGATTTCTTGTGTGTTTTCCTCAAGGACTGACAAGGTTGCTGCAGGCAAACATCATGCATCTTATCTTCCTTACATCCCCTCAGCAGATTCTTGGGGGCTGGACACAGCATAGGTGTGTGATAAATATCATTTGATTGATGTACGGGACTGATATGGTCTCCAACTCCAAATATATAACATGGATTTTGCACATTAACACTAGAGCACACAGTCTTTTCTTCACAGCATATGATCTTTTTAAAGTAAAAAAAAAAATTAATAAAGTCACTCCTTGGAAAAATGCCATTGGAAGATGGAAATTAACCTTGTATGTAAAAGAGAGCCTGGTGCCAAGAAAACACTGAGATTTCCATCTCACCCACTGGGAAGCCATCACTTGGCTAAGATGAGTCAGGGTCTTAGATAAGTCACATTTTCTGTATGTCTCTGTCTCTACATCTAATACAATGAAAGCCTGAATAAATCCTGGGTTACTCAGTTTTGCGTGACCATGATCCCTACCCCCTTTTACAAGCTCCCTTTCCTTTCTCTTACAATGAACGCCATGTTTTGAAAGTTTTTTTTTTCCTACTAAACAGTAACTATCAACACGTTAGTACATTTCCCCCATCTTGATTACTGATAGACCAATAGAACAATCAATGTTTTCATTGGCGTCAAGTGACCAGAGTAACCACTACGTGGAGTTGCTAGAATTCCCCCCAAAAGGAAAAGTATATTTTAATTAGCTTTTATAGGTATGTCTCCAGTTCTTGAACAGTATTTACTGTGACTTTTTGAAATTCTGAAGTGAGCCCACTGACCCCTCTTTCTTCTGGTGAGCCTGTCAAGTATTCAGGACCCCAGAGACTGGAAAGTTTTAAAGGGGAAGGTCTCTGAGCTCCCTTTCTGCCATGGAATTCCATGGCTTTATGGTTTTAGTGAAAGGATGGTGTCATTAAATCCATTCGACCATTGACTTATTATTGAAGACACATTTCCAATAGCTTGAACACATGTCATCTGGATTTAAAGAACCAAAAATTGTGGTGTTGGTGGGTGCTCATCCAGTGATAATAAAGCTTGAACATGAAGTTTGTTCTCTAATCTTGGCCACATTAATTGGAATTGGAATTTGAGCCATAACATTTGACTGAGAAAGGGAGGTGGTGAGAGAAACTGATGAGGCAAATTGCTTCATATACTCTCTGCACACAACTCAAACCTTGGAGAGATGTACCTGAGGTTTTCTGAACTGAATTCCGACTCCAGGAATCGTAGAAACTGGTCCCGCCCCACCTGGTCCTTCAAGATCTCATCGAAAGAGAAGCCCCATCTCTTCACTCGCTGCTGGCTGGGCTCTTTGCTTTGGGAGAGGGAACAAAGGTGGTCAATACCAGGCAGAAACCTGTGGCACAGTTTCTTCAACAACTCAAATTTATTTAGCTGTCACAGGCCAAAGGGAAATGTCTCATTTAAGTAACAGATTCCATCAAACCTGCATAAATCCTAAATGCAGACTTTTGTAGACCAACACTAGCCAAGGGTAAAAAGTCTCTTTAAAGAAGGTGTTTGAAAGGGGCCACATTGAGGGGATGCTTGCCAAGTGCTGCTTACAGGACATATAAAAACTCCACTGATTTGGCTTCCCTGGGTCACTCCTGTCAATCATAGGTCCAACTCTTGACTCCATCATTTTTTTTTTCCACTTAAAAACTGAGGATGCTTTGTGAATCTGATCTTTCATCAAAGATGCTGCCCCCACCTCCTGCCCCTTCCTCAATTCCCAGGGGAAAAACAGAGTCCAGTTTAGAACCAAGTGATGTTCAACTGATCAGAACTATGTCAACTCATCCTGGATAAACCCAATACAGGTGCTTAGAAGCAGAATGTTGCATCTATTCATTGATTTAACCAGCACCTGCACAGTGTCTACAAAGGTCTAGGCATCGTTCCCAGCCTTCACACCTGTTAACTCACTGAGTCCTTAAAAGTACTCTGAAAAATGCACTAACACTGTCCCCATTTTGCCGACAGGGAAACTCAGGCCTGGTGACAATTTACCCAAAGACACAGTAGGAGGGGATGGAGTTGAGGCTCAAGTCCAGACAGCATGGTTCCAGAACACAGCTCTCAGCTCTGCTATGTTGCCTCACGTCCATGGGACTCTCTCCAAACCAAAGTGTAGGGAGGGGGGACAGAGAGTTGTTCTTATTCATTTGGTGTTAGAAGATGAAAATATTTCCTTCCGCTTCTGTCTTTCCATTTACAGTTCCTTTGCTGTATTTACTCCTCTGACTTCTTCAAGCAGCAATAGGTTTCTAGTTCATGAGCTATATACTGCTATCTCTCACTCAAGGGGTAGTCTATGGACCAGCAGCGTAATCTCAGGACCCATCTCAGGCCCATGGAATTGAAATCCACAGCTTAGCAAGATCCCTGGGTGATTTAAGTGCACATTAAACTCTAAGACACATTGGTCTAGCAATATTTATCCCCCCCCCTTTTTGATATCCATTGATTTATTGATGTTTAATTTAGGTCCAGAAAGAATCAGAGGTTTACAAGAACACACAATTACAAAACCAAAACAACAATAACAAAATCCCCAAACCCTTAAACATAGGCAAGTATAATAATAAGAAGCAGTGATGGTAAGTCTTGGGTGGTGTTGTTTAGTTGCTACATCATATCCAACTCTTTTGTGACCCCATGGACTGTAGCTCACTAAGTTCCACTGTCCATGGGATTTCTCAGGCAAGCATACTGGAGTGGGTTGCCATTTCCTCCTTCAGGAGATCTTCCCAACCCAGAGATCGAACCCATATCTCCTGTATTGGCAGGTGGGTTCTTTACCACTGAGCCACCAGGGAAACCCGAATATAGGAAAGAATAGTAATAAAAACAAGTGATGATAAGTCTTAGTGGGGGATGGTTATTATACCAGAAAACCTAGGCTAGGGGAACTACTGCCAGTGAACAAAAAAATTTTTAGAGCTTCCTTGGAGCCAAGACAAAGAGAGATTTGAATGGATTACACCACTCTCAACATTTGAAAGAGGTAATATGTAAGTTTGTCAGTAAAGACTACTTTTGCTCTAGTATTGAATTATAAGAGGAATTGTCTCACAAGTCTTTACATAAGGGGCACTGAAACACAATGAATGATATTTCTGATACCTTTATTTTTAAAAAAAAGTGCAGGAAACTTTTACATACAGCTATTGGATTGCCAAAAAGTTCATTTGGGTTTTCTCATAACATGCAAACTTTTCAGAGTTTAATGTGCACTTAAATCACTCAGGGATCTTGTTAAGCTGGGAATTCCAATTCTATGTGTCTGAGGTGGGGCTAAGATTCCACTGCTGGTCTACCACTTGAGTGGGAGATAACAGCATGTGTCTGTGAACTAAATACTTTCAACAAAAGTCAAAAGCATAATGTTAAATTCTAGGGTGGTGAAGGTATATCTCTGGAGAGCCAAATAATGCAGTCTGTAGCTTCATTGTCATGGAGGGCATGGCAACCCACTCCAGTATTCTTGCCTGGAGAATCCCCATGGACAGAGGAATCCGACGGGCTATATAGTCCATGGGGTTGCAAAGAGTCCGGCACAACTGAGCGACTAAGCACAGCACAGAACAGCTTCATTGCCACTTGGCTTGAAATAAGAAAACTTCAAAAACTGGTGGAGAAAATATTCCATTCATTTTCCGGCTTTTTGCAGGAGCTCAACAGTAGCCATCTCTTCACTCTCCAAGTTGAAACATATTCTCCCCATGAAGCTCTGTTGCCAAGGACGGAAGGTGGAAACAGAAAGTATGCTGGTGTGGAATGAATGCTAGCCACATTAAAAGGCTCTTGCCCACAGGGTTCAGAACCACCACACTGTAGCCTCAGCAAATGATGTGAAGAAGGTGCATTTTATCTGCAAGCACTAAGCTATGAGCCCTGCACTGTAGCACAGTGTACCGCAATGACATCCACATATTTCTCTTCTTTTTAAAAATAGACACAAACTTTTTTATGGTGTCTTCTATGGAATTTCTCAGGCAAGAAGACTGGAGTGGGTTACCATGCCCTCCTCTAGAGGATCTTCCCAACCCAGGGATCAAACCCAGGTCTCCCACACTGCAGGCAGATTCTTTACCATTTGAGCCACCAACAATGAGGAATTTCAAGAAAGATCTTTTCCCAAAGTTCCAGGCTGGGCTTTCTGTAAAGAGCCAAGAAGACAGATCCTAGATTCTCTCAAACTCAAGCCACAGAATCAAACTCAAGAGCTTTCCAGAGGACAAAAAGCGCTGTTACTATCCCCACCCTGGGGTTGAGGTGAGCAGTAAATGGAAGCCCCACCGAGCTGCAGGAACGCATCTGCTTCTGCCAGGGTCATGCTGTGACCTGGGATGGCCACCAAGGTTGCAGGGCTCTTCGGGGATGGTGTTGATGACAGCTGTACCCCAATCAGTGGCTGTGTCCAGACAGCCAGGTGTGGAAAGTTGCTCAGTCTTTGAAGTGACTGCGTTATGGACACACGTCCACCACCAGTGTCACCACTTTCTGGTTTGCAAGCAGTGAGTCCGCATTCATCCTACCAGCTTCCTTGGTGGTGGCAGGGGAAGGCTGGTGGAGGATAAGGGCCATTTTGGGAGTAAGCCAGAGAGCCAGGGGTGTCACTAGATGCAGAATCAGAAGCCTAGGACAGATGTTTGGACATACAGAATGCTGCAAACCCAGCCTTCAGCAGAAACAAGGGGTTTTGGAGAGATAGGCTGCCCTGGTGTGGTGGTTTCCTAGTTGGCCAACATACCGACAAACTGGAAGGCTTAAAATAGAAATGTATTCTCTCACAGCTCTGAAGGCTAGAAATCTGAAGTCAAGGAGTTAACTGGGCCACACTCTCTCTGAAGGCTCTAGAGGAAAACCTGTTCCATGCCTTCCTCTTAGCTTCTGATGCTGCCAGAAATCCTTGGCACCCATGGCCTGCTCATGCATTACTGCAATCTCTGCCTCTGTCATCACATGGTATTCTGTCTCTGTACCTGGTTTTTCACATGGCATTTACTCTGTGTGCGCCAGTGTTTCTGTTTTCTCTCCTTATCAGTCATATTGGATTGGACTTCCCTGGTGGCTCAGTGGTAAAGAACCCGCCTGCCAATGCAGTCAACTAGGGTTCAATCCCTGGGTTGGGAAGATCCCCTGTGCAGAAAACAGCAACTCACTCCAATATTCTTGCCTTGGGAATCTCATGGACAGAGGAGCCTGGCGATCTACAGTCCATGGGGTTGAAAAAAGAGTTGGACACAACTCTTAGCCACTAAACAACAACAACAACATATTGGATTAAGTGTTTACTCAATCCCAGGATGACCTCATCTTAACTAATCACATCTTTAATAGTCCTTTTCCAAATAAAGTCACATTCTGAGATTCTGGGAAGGACTTGAATTTTTAGGTGACACTATTCAACCTAGTACATCTGGGTTCCTTCAATTATTCATTATTCACAATCCTATTTCTGTGTCTGGACACCCTACATCTGCTCCTTTTCTTCTAATAATCTGGTCATTGGGGTCTATTCTATTAAATGCTTCTTGGATACAACATTTCTATACATGTCTTTCTTGTACCTCTTGGTTATTTCCAAGCATCATCCCTTTGAAGGCTCAAGGTCAGATGTGAACATGTTGCTACCATGGAATGTTCTCTGTGGTTATAAAATAATTCTGAAAAGTTATCTCTGGACATTTATCCCCGGGTGACTGGTATAATAACTTTCCTTTGGCTTCACTCAGATAATCCATGGAACTCACAGCCCCTCTATTTTCATCCATTGTATAGAAAGGCTTTCTCATGACACATCTCTAATTATGGTTTTGTACCATCACTTGACTTTTAAAGAGTTTATGTCATTGTCTCTGCAGCTATCTTGTGAGCTCTCTGAGGGCAGAGACCACATCTTTGTATTTATCATAGTGCTTTTCACACAGCAAGTGTTTAGCACTAAAGGGAAATCAGTAAGAAAATGTGTACAGTAATGTGTGGATGATGTGTCCTTATATTGACATTGATGTGTCCTTATATTTCTAATTGCTAGCTGGATGACTTTTTCCTACTCTAATTTCTCTTCCATGCCCATTGCTTCTCACCAATTCCTGCCTCCCACTGAACAGCCCAAATTAACACAGCCAAGACAGGTGGCTCTCCCAGGGAGTCTGTCTTTCATTCTAGCTGTTTGCCCAAATCGAGAACAATAAAGACAGATTCAGAATAAGCAACTATCTATAAAAACATCCAGCTATCTTCAAAAGGTTTTGAGTTACTGGAAAATTTATGAAATGAGGGATTGTTCCTTAAAGAGTAAAT